TTTTTTTTTTTTTTTTTTTTTTTTTTTTTTTTTTTTTTGTGTGTGTGTGTGTGTGTATTTTTGAAACCTGCAGTGGATTTTCTGGGCTCATGACATGACTTTTTATTATGCAGTGCATTAGAGCCCTTGTGAAAAATAAAACATGTGATGTGGAAAGTCTCTAGTAAAGAGTGACTCAGGAAAAGGAAAACAAAACCCTTCAGTCTAACGAAAGAACAGACTGTGTGAAAGTAACTTGGTATTTAATTGGAAATTGCAGTCAGTCTGCAGATGAACAGCCTTGCTGGCATCTGCAGGTGGGTGTTTTGCTTATGCTTTACAGTTTTCCTTCCTGCTTGTGCTTGTGAATGCGTTCTGCCTGTCAGCTCAGAGGTGCAGAGATGGCTGCAATTTGTGGCTGTTCTTTTTCCAGAAGTATCAGCAGTTCCCAATATCACATAAATGAGTGTTGTAAAAGTGCGTTAGTAAGAAACAGACCCTGCAAAAAATAGCTTACAGTCCAAATGGGTGTGACAGCCCTTGTTTTAGAGATAGAGAGAGCCTTTAGAGGTCATTAGAGATAAGTGATGTGACCAAGATCATGCAGGGCCTTTTGCACTCTAAATTATATCTGGGACTTCTACCTCACAGGTTCAGAGCTCACGAGGGCATTTTAATAGAGAATTTTTAGGAGACACACTGACATACATTCATTCAAGGTAAACGTGATCTGCCATCTTGGGCCAAACCCCAGATTTGCTTTCATCAAGTCTAATTATGATAATGGTTCATTTAACCTCTCTGCCTCCCCCTAACTTCCGCTTTAAAGCAAAGGCATACTGGCTGAGAAACCTTGGACTGCACAGTTCCATTTTTAGCTCTGTCTGACTCATTTAATGATTTGGTCAGGTTAGTTTGTCCTTGACTCAGTTTCCCCACTGTCAAAATGGCACTAATAACACTGTCCTGCTTTTTGAGGAAGGGTTATGAAGATAAATTAGTTTTGGCTGGAGAAGAGTCCTGCAGGGCTAGCAGAATTGGAAGGAGACAAGCGTGCTCTCTGTTGCAAGTATTATCTATCACTTATGTTTCTCACAGCCCTCCTTGACTTTTACTGACTGTGTATTCTTTCTCCTCTTGCAAATCACCAACATGTATATTGATCAGCAATATGCCTTGCACAGATTACAGGACCATCTCTCCATCAACTTCTTTGCCCTCTCAGAGGCAGATGGTTTTACTGTTGTGAGAGCAAAATCCTGGCCTCGCCAATGTCAACAAAGCCAGGATCTCATCCCTGGTTTTCCAACACAAGTGTTTCCTCTTCTGTAAAAAAAGGCTGGCTATGGGGTGGCTACTGCTGTTTCTTTCTAGGGTTCCTCTGAGGAAGAACAATCCCCTCCAAAAAATGCAGAGATGTTTTCAGAGGCAGACAAACAGATGAGGAGCAAAGGAGTGGTTGGAGAGGGAAAAGCCAGCCACACAACAATCTGACTTCTTCTAGAGAGGGTTAAGTACTAAATACCTCTTACTGGGTCACTTAATGATGGATGGTGGTTAGTGGGGGTGGGGTAAAGCTGACTTCCAGCCCTGCATCACTAAACCGTTCATTAGGAAAAACACACACAATGGAAAATGGCAGAGAGGCTCAAGTGTCCAATTTCTCTCTTGAACTCTCTGAACAGGAGGCTCCAGTCAGGGGAATCCCTGCCACCCTTTCTCCCCCTCCTTCTCTGGCAGTTTCTTTATTAATTAACGGAGTTGGCTGGGGACGGAAACGGAGGACAATAATCAACATAGATGGGTCTGCAGACCTATTTTTAATAATGTGCTTTGCATCTGTCCTAATTGGTATGGAAACAGTGACCTGATTGGAACGACCGGGAGCCTCTTGGGGCCTTTCTTTCTTCCTTTCTCTCCCTCTGTTTTCTTTTTTGTTTGGTTGAAGTTTGACTTGGTGGGAGTGGAGGGGCCAGTGGGTAAGAAATATAAAACCTAACCTTAGGGACTGTTCACAGGCCAGGGAGTGGAGAGGGGTGACGTACTGGGGAGTACGGGATGTGGGGGCAGGGAGGCCTGGATTGGAAAGTCGGGCATAAATGCCTCCAGGACAGAGAATCTAGCTGCCCTGAGGAGCTGAGGCCGAGCATGGGAAGGAAGGGACAGCAGCTCTCTTGGTTTAGTTGATGATGTGGGATATGTTGGGTTTTTGGGATGAGATAAGAAAAGCTCAGGGACAAGAGGAGCACTCCAGGAGCCAACTGAAGGCCGGTCCTTACCCTGCTGTGTAATAAACATGCATGCAGTGAGAGAGAGTTCCTGTCCACGAGAGATTTAAACCTGAAACAGGCAATGAGGGGAAATAGATTATTTGGTATCAGAAGATGGCTTAGGAACAAAGGGTGGCCCAGAAGTCTGACTCCCCCAGTGCTGTGTGAGCTATCTACCAGACCACAGATACAGCTGCCATAATGGCTTAGACAGTGCCCTGGGGAATCCAGAACAAATGCTGTGTGGGAACATACACACAGGGACCATGCCTATACGGATAGATGGGATAAAACTTTGAATATAATTGTGGTATGTTCTGTAATGTAGTGATATTTACCTGTTGCAGCTGCTGATATTCTTAGCATTTGCCTGTTCACACAGGATGCCTGTTAGAGTGGGATTGCAGAGACTGAGCACTACTGAGCCAAGTGGCAATGTGTCCCCATGTTCTCTCAACACAGATGTGCTGTCTGTCCTGCAGCTCCCTGAGGATGTAGTTGAAACGCTGCTTTCTTCTTTCTCTCACCTATTTAAACACCTAGCAATAGACTCTTGCAGGCTGTGTTTGTCTCCTTTGCCTTCCTGTGTCTTCACAATCTCTGGAAAGTAGCTCATGAGCCTTGAACATTTGGAAGATCATCTTTCTCTGTGCAGCCATAGTCTCCAGAACTGAATTGCATGGGAACTGGAAATCTGTCCTCACTGGGAGGCTGGAAATTGTACGCCCAAGCTGAGGAACTTGTCACCCAAGCAGGGATCATGCGGGGTGTTTTTGCATTGCAGCCTTGATGCCAAATTACTGCCTTGCAACTTCACTTTCTGTTAAAAGCTTGTGTGTGCACACACTGTCAAATAATGGGATGAAAAAAACCAAGACCAAACCCTGAAATTACAATGAAATAAAAGTGGTTTTCATATAGATTAGGATAGAAATTGGACATTATTTAGAACAGAGCAAAACAGTCAGGTGGGTGGATGGATGGATGGGTGGATGGATGGACAGAAGGATTAGCTCTAACAGACATTGCCCCTAAGGTAGCTTAACATTTCCAAGTCTGACCATTTTATTTTGAGAACTACAGCAATTGTTTTTTCCCGTAACCCCCAGCTCTTAGAATGAATTATTATAACTGAGAATCTTAGCTTTCTTTTGAGGAAGCTTGCTGTTCTTATACTGGATATGTAAAACTTGAAGAAATGGTGTTATTTCCCTCAAAAGGATCAGAATAAGAGGCTGAGAACAAGATCTTCCACATGCATTGTGTTAATAATAAATCTCTGATGCTTTATTCCAGTCTCTGTTTTGTGAGGCCTTGCTTGTTAATTTGGGCATCCATGGAAACATTGCTAAATTTGAGCTCTGTTTATGGATGGCAAGTCTGGGCATCTGTGGTATATATAACCCTGCTTATAAAGAGGAAGGAAAGAAAGAAAGAATGAAAATGTGAAATGTAGGGGGAGCAGGCAGTGAGCTGCTGCCACTGTGATATGTGAGGAGTTGGCCAGGTCCCATGTAAATCAAGGACAAAGTTGACTAATTTCCTGGGTCGGTCATGGTGAAAATATCACATTTCATGGTTTGTTGCCGATTCATAGAAAAATCCTATTAAAACCGGGCAGATTACTTATACAATTTAAACAAATGATGATCAAAGATTATAACATGTTCTGTGAAGAATGAAAAGGAATAGAAATGAATGTGCATGTGGTGAAATGGGGCCAGGTGGGGTTTTGCATGCAAACTTGCTCTTTTATCGCTGGGGGGGCGTTGTGGATTGGGGGGGTTGGGGTGCGGAATGCCAGCAGTTTGGGCGTACCCTGACCCTTTTTTTGAGTAGGGCTGCTCGGCGCACAGCATCGCTGCCCGCCCGGCGGGGAGGGGCCGGGCCCCGCGGGCAGCAGAGGGCGCCGCAGGCCGCGGTTTGAGGCGGAGGAGCCTCCTGGGCTCCCGGAGGAGGGGAGGGAGCGGCGGAGCGCGGCCGCTGGGCCCGCTGTCCGCCCGCAGGCAGGTGTGGGGGGCCCGGCGCCGGCTCAGCCCGGGCGCTCCCTGCGCGCTGCCCGGACCCCAAACCCACGCCGGCTCTCGGTCCCCTCACCGCACCCCGGGCAAGTCGCTCAGGGGAGAAAAGCCTAACCTGAAACCCAACAAAGCTTAGGGTGCGAGGCAAAAAAATGAGTTCTGCGTCTCAACGAGACAAGGTTTACACTAGACGTAAGCCAGCCTGTTATTGATCCCTGCATAGATCTGTCCTCCAGTGCCTCATCACAGTGAAGCGTGTGAAACCTTCACAAGACCTTCACGAAGTGTCAAATTCAACAACTGTACACTGAAGAAAAGAATACAGAGGCATAAACATATGTTTATATTGTAAAGACAAGTGACTGTGAAGTGGTTGCTAAGGTGGAGATGAAATGGGTAAACAGAAATGCATCTCCAAAAACAAATGGTAGAAATTTTGGCAAATACAACAAAATGATTGGTGCTGGGAGCAGAAAAGGGCAGGGTTTGGTTTTTTTGTTTGTTGAGTTGCGTTTTAAGGCAGATTTCCATATTTCACTGTGAAATTGTCACAGCAGACAAGACAAAATCTGGTATTTACCTGTACACTGCTGAGCATCCTATCCCAAACAGTAATCCACATGAAACCTGCTATAGTGTTTTTCACAGCCTGCATGGCTTGGAAATTAGGCTTAGATAGTCAAATCTTCTGACATCACCACTCATTTTTACTTCCTCAGGCTAAACACACTGAAGCAGTATACCACTGATGTTTCTGTCACAGAGCTCATTTTGCACAGCTGCCTGTCCAAAGTCGTCTTCTGAAGCTTTCCCAAACACTGGTGTCTGATAGAACAGGCAGGACTTGATGATCTTAAACATCTTTTCCAACCTAAAAGATTTTATGATAGTGTGGGAATTCAGTTTTGTTTGAAATTTAGGGATGAGGTATATGGATTTACTGATACTGGCTCTTCTTTTTTATCTATGAATCAAGAAAAATGTAGCAATAAACTTGTCTCCACACAGCCTTCAACTCCAGATCCAAACCCTAATGCCATCTATAACCCTATGGTTGTCCAGAGCCGAGGTAGCCATGGCTTCTTAATAATTCAGCATAATGTATTTAAACATTCTGACAGCTACCCTTACCTTTTCTTCAAGGACCAGAAAAATAAGTACCAAAACCTCCCGTCATGAATCCTGCAACCAATCCAAGCCATAACCTTACTGATCATTGTAACTCAGGGATGTAATGCTGTGTAGAAACTAAACATGCACTTGAAGGTTATCAGCCTTTTATCTTAGCACTGAGGACCTGTGAGAGATCTGCAATGGTGATATGATGCTGCAGAGCCTCCTGTCCCAAACCACAGATGTTGGCTACTTGCAGTATCATTTATGGCTAAAGAACTTGTTGATCTCTGAACACTGACTATGAAAAATTCAAATCCACTGAGGCAGGCTGTAATCTGGCTGCAGGCTGGACAGAATTCATCAGTAAACCCGACTGCACAGAACTGTACATTAAATCTTAGTTTTAGTCCTCACTGTATTCCTGGCACGAGTGATGGCCTAGAAATTCAGTTATGTCCAAAAGTTAATCGGAAGATGTTTAAATATGCTGATACTGACTTTGCCACTTATCTTACCTCAAGCAATGATGCCATTCCGGCTCCAGCGTTGATCATGGCTCAGTAACCCCATTCTGTCTGACAATTAAAAATGATACATTTTAATCTACTTATGCCTGAGCAGGTTTGGCAGAATTGAGCAACAAAAATTGTTTAGCAGAGCCTCGTTTCTGGAATGCTAAGGTAGAGCCTAATTGTAATCCTAACCCTGCTTTGACCTCTGCCCAGACACTTGCCATCACTGGAAAATAAAGAATAAATATTTGACTGTAGCAACACTAACTTTCATCCACTTTTGTGAGTCTTAAAGATTTAGACAATTAATTTGTCCCTCTAATCTCTCTTGTTCCAGACTCTATCCCCAACTCTAATCCTACTTTTGATGACAGCTTAGAAACCCAGAATTTGGCATTCTCATCTAGTGGTATCAGACCTTGGCTTTCCTCTACAGGTCTGACAGAGGTCAGTAATAAATTTGGTTCTTCAGATCCTGCTGTCCCTAACTGTAACTCAAATCCCAAACATACTAGCATTATACACTATACTGTCATTGCCACCAGACAATGTGAATCTACTTGTTCTAGCCTTATCTTATTTTGCGGAATTCAGCAAATATCCAGCTCTCTGTCTACATCTCTAATCTTGTTCCTAACAAAAATGTCAGATTTTACTACAGACTACATTTTTCCCTTGCTTCAGGATGAAGAATAAGACATTTGAGTTTACTGACACCGGAGTGCTGTGTTTGCATGGTCAAGGGAGAGCCTAGCACCTGAGATATGACCCTACTTAACCCAAGCTGTCTGAGTGTACAGATAATCTGTGTATTTGGTGATTTGACTACAGGGAACTGGAAATTCAGTTTTCTAAAAATAAGTGATTTCACACCTTGAGTGGTGAATAAAGAACTTAATTTCTATGTATTTGAGAGGAGCTGATGCTGATTTATGCCAGCTGATAGTTCTGGTCTGGTACATATAGATCTTTACAATAGAAAGTACATAATACTGCTTTGAGGCCTAAAGGATGCTTTTATAACAAAATGTGTGTACAGCCTTGTTGAGTCAAAATTGAGAATGGTCAATGAACAATACGTGCTGTTGGCTATATCCCGTACCTCTGCTAGGCTTGTGTATGTTTTATTCTGGCCAGAGGATGTGAGCTAGCATGTGGGAATAACAGCTGGAGAATAAGGTGGGAGTCATAGTGCTTGGAGGAATTGGAGGAACAACAAGTATCCCTATTCTTAATTCCATATCACATACAGTGGGATTGGTTTGTCAAATCATGACCTATTCCAGTGCTGCTGATTGCATTTGTGACATGAACGGCTATAGCAAGGAACTTGGGACACTGGAATTGGATTTTACAGAGGACTCCTACTGTTAGTATTTGTGACTAAATGTCATCTTTCTGGACAAAATACCACCTGATGTACATGAATTTTGGACCAAAATGCTGAATTAAGAAACTGAACTGGACATTATTTTGCTTGTTCACTTTTGGGGATTGATGTGACTTCCACTTGGTTTTCAAGTAGGCAATCAGGCTTGAGTGGGAAAAAGGCTGTTGGTCACCATCACATTTTGGATAGGGCAACCCTGTGAGCAGGTGGTGCTACTTGGAGGTAAACTAAAAGAAAATCCACGTTAAAGTTGGAGAGCAAGTGAAGGCCATAGGTTACTCTTTTCTTGCCTCATACTAAGAATAAGCATCTTCCAACAGTGATGCCTTAGCGTAGCAAAGCAGTCTTCGAAGACTTGTGCTTATGCAGCGCTTAGAGAACGTGATAAGGACCCCTCACTTGGTTTAGCCAACTTACCACCATGGCTGTTTTGATCCAACATTTTGTAGACTGAGCATTGTGTTCATTTCACGTTAATGGTGAGTAAAGCTGATTAGCTGCTGTTTTAACTGCAGGTAACTCGTCGTTATTGGCAGGAAACATGTTTCATCTGCATAACAGTTTCATGTGAGCAGTGGGGAACATTTTCTATTAGCGTTTGTTGATGTGAAACGTGTTTCTTAGTGGAATTATGTTTGCTTGGGACTGGAATAGAACTTGATTTTCATCCTTATCTCCAACTAGAGAAACTGAATCATGAAAAGGTCCTTTTTGATTCTTTCCCAGCAATGGTATTTTTATTATTACTTTTAATGTGTCCAAGATTGGTCCTATTCCTATTTGCTATACACAGATAGCTTCAGAAGCTGGAGTCAACCTTCTTAATGCTACCCAAAATATATAAATGTCAGCTGCATACACAGGCTGGGATAAGACGAGGACTAGTTCCAGAGACATCATGTTAGAGAGCGGTCCCTGACAGCCACGTTCAGGTGGAGCTTGAGCTCTGTAGGGCCCCAGTGAGGAACTGAGGCAGGTACAGCTAAGCAGTGTATGTCCTTTTCCAATCCCGCCAATGTCACATTCCTTCTCTTTTCTTATATGCCAAGTGGTCCTGTACTTACTGTTTTTATTTTTTAATTTCTTATTTACCGTAATGACACTGACCAAAGCTCTATTGCAGCCATGAGCACAAGTTTTGAAAGTGAGAGAATAGTAACACTTGCTTTTTAAGAAATGTTTTGCTTCCTTTATTTGCTCATGCTTTCCAGGTAGTGAAACCTAAAGAAGCAGTCAATATCTTTCAAAAAATGCTATCTGCCATATAATAACTAATTACATTACCAGTGTAGTGCCTGTCATTCTGAAGAATCGCAAAGCACACAGTCTTCCTGAATTATGAGAACTGATGCATATATATGACTGTGTCATCAATAAATCCTGAGAGACTCTTTGTAAGAAATGTAGCTTCCGCTGGCCTAGAAGATGGAAGTTGCTTAAGAGTTTGCCATAGAATTACACAAATGTTTTAGTGAGTAAGCAGAGAAGAATTATCTATTTGATATAAATCAGAAAAAGAATTTAGGAATATAGTTGCCTTGCAACTTAGTAATTCTAAAGGATGAGGTTTTGTTTGCCTGAATCTATAAAAATTATGTAAAGGCATGGCTTCATTATTTATTTGACAGAGGCGGCCTCTTGATTCTTGACAATCCAGTTTAATTGTTTCCAAGTATTCATTTATACTGAGGGAGGCCCTTGTGCTTAAGGCCTTGCAGTCACAAAACACAGTTGCAGAGAGCTTTAAGTCCAAGCATGACTTGGGGAAAAATTTCTGATTTTGCTGATTTAAATCAAGGAAATCACCCATTCACTGCTGCAAGCCTCACTTGCTAGCATATATTTGTATTGCTGGAATGCCAAGGATCCATATTACCTATGAAGGCATTGCCGTGCTAGGCAACATACAAATGCAGAACAAACAAAAGATGATTGCATGCTTTAGAGCTCTAGCAGTCTAAGACAGGAGATTATGACTTGGGCAAATGATTATAATTGACACCAGAGAAGCCAGTGCTTCTGCTTCTGATTGAACTTGGCTAAAAATCCCCAAAAGCAACAACCAACAAAAAACCACAAAACCAACAAATAAAAACCCCACTAAAGGGAACTAAAACCAAACCAAGCAAACAAAAAAAGACCCACCAAAAACAAACAAACAAAAAAAGCAAACAAAACCCCCCAGGCCAGAATACTGGTCTATTTGACATATTTGTAAAGAGGGAAGAGTTAAAGAATAAGAGCCCATGGAAAAAACTAAAATCATCATGTCTTCAAATGGTCTCAAGTGTATGGGTAGGAAAGAGGAGAGGCAAAACAGCAGAGAGAATCTGAAGCTTGGACTGCCTTGTTTTTCCATAATTTTTCCAAGATATGTTGGAGACTTTTATGCATTAGCACAGCGTTTGGGAATGAATATTTGTTCAGTGAGATATGACTCTCCCATGGCAGAGCAGTGAAATATAGGATATTTTGCTTGTTGGCAGCAGATTTCTGGCTGTCTACGTTTTTATTAGTGCAGGTTTTTCTATATGAGTATAGCTATTTATCTAGCAAGCAGGGCCAGCAGATAGAAAGTTGAAGAGAGAGCCAGCACAGTTCTAAGCCATGTCAGTAGATAAAAACCCTTAAGGCGAAATATCTACAGGATTGGGCCACGTGCCTGAATTAGAGGAAATGCTGTTATATTTTCCCAGTCACTTCAATATCCTGCAGTTCTTGCACTTCCACAAACACAGTTTAATGCAGCTGATATAATGCCATACTGAGGATGTGTTGTCAGCTGCCAGTGTTCAGTCTTGGACCTTTTAATTTCTGAGCTAGAAGACTGAGGTTTTTAGCAGAGGTTGCAACAGGCTGATGGCCTTTGGTGTTTTGCCTGTTTACCACCAGAGATGGTCAGATGGTTACCCCAAGGGGCTTTGTACACCAGCATCTGTAGCCTGCTGGTCTGGTCTGACTGCATGGAGGCAGTGGGGCCAGGGAATCCAAATAGGCAGCCTGATTATCTGGAATAATAATCTGGGTGTGATTGTTGGGATTAAATCCCACCCTGGGGTGTTCTCTGATGGTAGAGGGAATTTTGCTTGATTATGAACTGAACCAGACCTGTGGGACTTGATCTTTTATTCATAACACTTTGCATGTGTGGCAAATGCTCTTGGAGGTAAGCAGATCCATTACTAGAGAGGGAAGCAAAGGCTACCAAATGAAAGAGCAGAGTAAGAAGCCAGCAGTAGTATCTTCCTTATTTCCAAGGTGATTCCCTTAACTCTTGATGTTTTGCTTGAATAGCTGCGGAAAAAAAGACAAGAAAGGACAGTCTTTGCTCCATAGATTCAGAGAGGAGCTGTAAGGTAAAAGACAACAGATGATGAGAATAAGACATGGGTTGGGCAATGTATGGATGTTGTCTGAAATAGCCGTAAACAAATGGGATGAAGTTTTTTGAAAATGTCATTATAAAGGACCTTGCAGGTGGACTTCTGGTGGAGACCAGTGAAACAACCTAAGGGCATCTAAAAGGAGCTTTGTTGTTCATAAAGGGCAAACCTGGGAGGGGGCACAAGGACACTGATTTGAAGATCCAGCAATTAACAGTGGGTATGGGAGTAGAGACAGGGCTTTCTTTTCTTGCCTGAAATAAGAGATGTTGAGTATAGGTAGCAGTGAAGTCCTTGAGAGAGAAGACAAGTAGCTTCTGATTGCTGTGTTAAAGAAAGAAAAGGCAGAGAGGTAAGAAGGAAGGGCGGGTGTACTAACATGTAGGCTAGGAAGGTCAACTTCCTAGCAGAAACAGAAGAAAGGTGCAGCAAGTTTCCAGGTCAGAGATGTGATGGCTATAAAACTTAGTGGTTATGTGGACTGCATAGTTAAATCTGTGTCTTGGATCATCTAGAGGCTCTTCCTTCATGCTCTGTTTTTAGCTCCTGTTATAATTTGGTATGACCTGAATATGATGTGCAGCCAAACTACTATGCAAGTCAAATAAGTAGGGTCAAAGTGATCTTAAAAGGCCCTTACATGAAAGCATGTAATCAAACTATTTAGTCAGGGGTAAAAGTATACCAATAAGGAAGTAAACATGCAGCATCTCAGGATCTACTATGTTTAAATATACCAGAGTTTTTAAACAGCTTCTAGCATGATCAGATTATAGCCTCTAGCTGGGATATAGACTGTAGGGGAAGCATTGTTGTTATGCCCAGCTTGGGAAGATGCTGGTTTCTGATCAAGTTCACTGGGGCAGTGAATTCTAATGCAACAATAGCAGAACCAGAATAATTCGTAAAGCAGTTTGAAATCATCTAACAGAAACAGTGCAGTTGCACAATTGTAAGACTTTAATTGATGTTTTGCACTTATTGTCAGCCTTGATTTCCTTTTAGAAATGTTACACAGCATTTTCCTCAATGCTGCTACAAATACAGAGCCATTCCTACTAGTCCAGACCCACTCCCATGTAGCTTGCCCTGTGATAAGTAGGGTTGTTTTGAAGTGTGCAGAATTTCAGAAGGAAACAGAAATACCAGCCTTTGTATTGTCGTAATGAAAACAAATAGGTACATATATATGAGTCAAATATATAGATGTATTTGTGTAGTTAGTTAGGTGATTTAAAGTATCCTTGTGTTTTATAACAGTGCAATCTGTGTGGTTCACTCCACATGATATGAAATAGCAATAAATAGGCTTGTAGCACCTGAAAGTGGTTTATCTTGTGTTTTGGTACAGTTCTGTTTTCTCTCTATTCCATATTTTAGGGTTTATTTCTGGAACATGATTTGTATAGTTTAAAAACTCAGACTTGGATTCTTTAAGAAACAGACTTTTTCTGAAATAACAGGTACCTGATATATATTTATTGCCTTCAATCCTGAAAAGATTTTTTTAATGTGTTTAGTTTGATTTCAGAATAATTGCCTAGACATATAAAATAAATTGCAGAAATAAATCTGTGTGGATCCAGAGCCCTTACTAATCAATACATCTGTTCTTCTGGATTTGTTTTCTTCATATCTATTTCCAGAGTTGTAAATACACAGGGTATTTTGGATTGAAATACCCTATGTGAATTCTGCAGTGAAAGGATTTCTCTTGTGAGATTAAGGTTGCAACAGTAATGACAATTGCAGTATTAATGGGCAAATTTTAAAATGATAGCTTTCATTCACGTCTAAAGCATTTTTGACATCACCCAATCATTCAAATTCACCTTTCTTTGTGTAGAGTAAAATGCTGTATGTATCAGCACACACCAGTACACAAACAGTGCAGAATTTTGACAGCAGGCAATAAAAAGTACCAAAGCTAGTGAATCATTCAGAGCTACTTAAGTGGCTGGCTAACGTGGTTTGTGCTGGAGTGTGAAGAGTCCAGTGCTCCGACGTCACGATCCTTGTGCAGAATGCAAGATCCATAAAGCCTACAGATGGTCAGGTTTGCCATTGCAGATCATAGCTCGTGAGTTTTGTCATGGCTATGCGGAATTGAGGCTTGTGTAGAATGGAGGCTGGTTTTGTGCTTAAGTCACTTAGAGAGGACTCAGTAGGACTGTTCTGTGACCTGGACAGAAATGTATTTATCTCACGGTCATTTTGTAATATGGGACCTTATGCAGGGAATCATGGACTTGGTTCTCATTGAAGTTAGCTTGCTACTAATGCCAAGCGTAGGCATAAGCTCTTTTTGAGCAGAAATGAGAATAAGCTTGGGCTTATATGACTTTTCTGCCTTGGAGTGCATAGCACATGTAGCTGTGATGGTTATTTCATTGCTGTTGAAGTGACTCTTGAACAGAAACAGTGAGACACTGTGTCTAATCCAATACAGAAGTCCAAGCCAGTCCTCCTTTGTTATCATAGTATTTGCATTCTCATTCTCAAACCTGTGTGGTTTTGGTTTGGCTTTTTTGGTTGCTTGTTTTTTTCTCTTTATGCAAGATATTTTCCCTGGATGCTTATGTCCTGTTTTTCTCCGTTCTTATTCTAGCAGTTTTTAGTAGTCTTGATATCTTGTTTCATGATTTTCTCTGTAGTTGTCTGATTCAGAGGGACAGACTTCGTGCACTGTAGCAGGACTGGTGGCAAGTATCCTGCGTTCTAGTTAAAGGTTAGAAAGAGAACCCTTTGGTGGTGAGGAAGAACCATGACACTGAAGAGTAATTTCATGTAAGAAGGAAGTGAGGATTCTGTTCACAGCAACACTAATGTCTAGTAATGTCAGAGAAATTGTTCTTCATTTATGTAGAGGTCAGAGCCTGAGCCTTTACAAGAAGACTTGCCCAGGAAACAAGTCTTTAACTTTGGTTGAGTATCTGAAATGGGAATTTTGTTCTACTTGAAGCAGTTGTAAGTGAAAAGATGTGAGTGACTTTGTGGAAATTCTCATCTGCCTGTAGCAGTGACTGTGCAGCCACACCAGTGCCTGCTGAGTCTGTGAGAACATGATCAATATGAGAGTATGATCTGTGAGCTGTGCATAACTGAGTGTGGGAATGCAGTGGTGAGAGTCAGTGTACCTGCCTGTGTGTGACACTGAGGGCTGTGAGACCTGTGGGGGGACATGTCCATGTGACTGTGTGTGGTGTGCAATGTGCAGATGTTCTGCCCATCTGTGCGTTTATACTGGCACAACCATATGAGTGAAGCACATATGTGAATGTGTATGTTACCATAGGGGAGAACATACCCATGAATGCATATGTGACCGTGAGTGTGAGTATTAGTGTATTTCCAAGTGCAGAATGTGTGAATAAATGTATGTAAGTGAATGTGAAAATTACCAGATGGTCTTAGAGGGAGAGATCCTGTGCCAGACATGCTCTCTTCTCTGTCCTTTCCATTTCTGTAAATGTATTAGTTTTAAAGAGGAAAAGTGCCCCAGCTTGGCTTTAGCCTGGGCATCACCCCTGAGTGCGCAGTTGCTATGCCAGCTCAGTGTGTTTGTGTGCTCTTGTGAGAGAGTTGGTAATTGTGAGCGCTCCCTAAGAGAATCTCTGGGGCCAGGGGATACAATAGGCAAGGGTCTAGGGTCTGAAACTGTAGACTTTAATAAAGCCACTGACAGCAAATAAGAGCCTGACATGTGAGTCACATTACTGACAACAAGGGCTGCTTTGTAGTCCCATCTGCACCCTGATCGGGTCCCGTACAGTAACTGAAAGGACAGAACAAACTGCTGCTGCCTTCAATAAATACAACAGTGCCACAAAGGCAGCCGAACAGACCAACTTTGTGTGGCTTTGCTGCAGCTGAGCTACTCTCCTACTCTTCCTCACCTCCCCCACCAGTGAAAATGACTGACGTTACCTTGTAAGGGTTGCTTGAGAGCCCTGGCTATGTGCTTGGCCCCATGGCAGTCATTATATACAGCCCTCGAACATCTCTCTTCCTTGCCACCCCCTATGCTCCTTCATAGCCTTTCTCTTTCTCTGCCCTCAGTGACTGGGAGAGGCCCAGAGCCTCTGACTCATGAGTATGTCCCTTGGACTTCCTGCCCTTGCCTGGCTAGCCAGCACTGGGAGCTTAGCAAAACCTTCCTTCAGGCTACAAGCATAGTTATTTGAAATGTTGCTTGAAATGCCATAGTAACTTGCATAGTTACTCCAGACTCCCATTGGAGGGGTCATGATGAAAATGCTGGACTTGCCAGCACAGTAACTTCAGAGCCTTTCAGACCCTGAGTGGTTGGTCACCCTCCTAGCCCAGATAGCATCAGGGCATGACAGTGTTTTTTATTTATCCAAGTGTCATCTAGCATAGTCAGAAACCTTTTTTGCTGGCTGCCCTCAGGGCCTCTTACTCTTCCCTCCCTCTGGGCCTCTCCTCCTGGGCTTGGAGACTTTCCCAGTGAAGAGCTTTCACATGGAGAAAAAAAGCCTTGCAGATAGATCCCCCTTCAATTGAAATTTGTGCCACAGTTGTGTCTTTCTCAGTGCTTTTCTGGCCACTCTTTTTTACTTTTTCCCAATAGCCCTAGAGAAAGGGTCCTTGCTGGACCCAATGGCACGTGTTGTCATGTACTGAAAGAATGTTATAAACCCTGGGAAAGATTGCTGGGTTATAAATCAAAATATAAGTCTGTGGTTGCCAAAGGGATGATGTTAAGTATCAGGATAATGTTTGTGACAGTGCAGGCGTGCTTCTGATATCTGTCCTAGCCCAGAGCATGTCAGTCCACCTAGCAAAAAGTCTAAATTCTTCTGTGCTTGAAAAAGAGGAACATCAGACCCAAGAGTTTATGCCTAGCGGAAACTCCGTGTCCTATATCATGCAGTGCACACAGAACTGAGTTCCCTGGAGGTTGAGGTGCACCCCATGTGGGATGGCTACCCCATACGTTTACCCTGTGCTTCTGCAGTGTGCAGTGGAGCCTGTAGGCTGCCCTGTCAGTGTAACATACCCAGTCTAATTGACACTGTCTTCAAACAAGAGGATCTCAGCTGTAGTGATTTGTTCCAAAGGTATAAGACTTACCTGCCTTAAAGGTCAGATTTTTCATCTAGCAACTAGTGTATCAGAGCTTCTAGGAACAGAACGTGCTCGAGGTGGGATGCAGCAGAACTTTCCTTGGAAAGGAGATTAGACTTAAGGGAGCAGATGCATTCAGTTTCTGAGCATCTTTAGGAAATCCTACAAGGTAGTTTTCTGTTAAAAATACCTCCCTGTGACTCTACATCACCTTCTGTTCAAGCAACCATTTCAGATGACATTGAACAAAGGAAAGTACAGACCAATATAATAAAAATGACCCTGAGATTAGCTCAGTTGGTTTGAGCATGGTGCTGGATAACGCTAAGGTTGTGGGTTTGATCTCTGTATGAGCCATTCACTTAAGAGTTGGACTTGATAAATCCTTGTGGGTCCCTTTGAACTCAGAATATATCCTGTAAAATCAGCAAGAACTAAGAAACAATAATATCATACAGAGATGTATGCAGAAGAGAGAGAGAAGGATTTCACTGGTGTCACATAGAAAATGCCCAGAGAGGCAATATTTATAGGAACAGCTTGTGATGATGTTTTGCATAACACTGTGATATTTCTCATGGTTAATGTCTGGACCTTCTGCTAGAAATTACCATTCTCTCTGTAGCAATAATATATAAAGGATTAAGCACCACTGTTTTGAAATACCCTACATAGCTGAGAGACAGCAGCAGAAACTTAAAGTCCTGTAGCAAATGTGGTCCGTACTTTTCAGGGAAATGTCTGAAATTTTTGAAAAGAAATTTAGAGCATCTTATGCCATTTTTAAAAGGGAACGCTGATTCCCCAAATCTAGCTCGGTGCTTTGATCACATAACAAGTTTTTGCTCTAGTGTCTTGGCCAAGACCTGGACAGGGCGAGACCAGTAGACATGCAGTCATTGTATTGGTGGTGGGTGTCGGTCCCCTCAGTCCTCACCTCTGCTGACTGCTTGTAGAGGCTTCAGCAGAGGGGGCACAACTGGCTAAACTGTGAAATGACTCTCAAGCATGGAGTCTACTGCAGCAGCACCTGTGCCTTCCTCTGGAGTCTCTCCCTCTCTTGAACAGGCAGGGTCTGGGGGATCCTCTTTCTAGTAGTTTGATACCTGAAGAGAAGCGTTTCCTAGAAGGAGATGGAAGGATGGAGCCTTGAAGCACAGGAAAATCATGCTGTGCTGTGGTAGAGAGAAAGGGATCTGTGTGCAAGTTTGCCACAGCTTTAACTTGCTTTTATGTTTTCTTTTATTCACAAAGTTTCAATTTAAAAAAGATGCTGTCATAACTGGGGAGAAATTATGTAGTTGCAACACTGTATATGAAGCTGAACAAAGAAATTGCCTGAGGGTCTTACAGGAGTGGATACTCTACCTTACAACCCTAGAATGCAAAAGCTTTGTATGTGGGAAAGAAGCTATTTTAAAAATCTTTATCAGGCAAATCAGATATTTTGTGGAGTGCATGTTTTGGTTAAAGCACAGGTATCATACAAATGAGGAAGCAGCAAATGAGAGACACTGATGAGAAGAGCATTGTCTAGGAAAGCACCATTTGCCCCGTGGAAACAGTTGCTAATAAGACTGGATAGAGAAGGAGGAATGGGTGGGAGAAGTGGTCTGGAGTGTCTGAGTAGCAGCACATCCAATAGGTCAGCTGCAACTTAGTGGCACCCCGGAGAGCAGCTGAGAAAGTCCTGAGACTTGGCACAGACATGCTGGCTTGTGTGTTACTGCAAGTATTAGGAAGCCACTCACTGCCACAGCTGTTCCTATACCAGGAAATCTGAAAGGAGAGCTTTAGATTCTTCTTGCTGTACTTTGAGAAAGGTGCAGTTGGTAATTATTTGAACTCATGCTTTTCCTTTCTATTTCTCATTCTTTTCTCCATTA